TGAGCAGAAAGAGGGACACTCGTAAGAGTATCTACTGAACTTTGTGAGGATATGCATGCATCCATGCATGTGCATTTTAGCACCAAACATGGATCACACATGATTAAAAGCACCGACAGGCTTGATGGAACACACAGCTCGCCCGCTACTTGGTCTGGAACCAGAGTGGTGGGAAGAGAAGGCAGAGTTCAGACAAGCTGCTGCTCAGCCTTCCTGGAATGAGTGCAGGCAGTGACATCCCAAGGGAAACGATTTTGCCGGGGAACTCACACTAGAACATGGGAGGTGCTGAACCTGGATTTTTTTTCCCTCAGACTTTCCTGGGTTTGATCACTCTTTCCCATGGAATCCCTTCTCCACACCTGAAATACAATTTCTGTAGCTGTATAAATGCAAAGTTTTGGCTTGGGCATCCATAAACATGTGGCCAGCGTGACTAGACATGGAACGCCGTTGCCTTTCCACCGAAGTGGTACCTATTGATCTACTCACATTTGCATTAAACATGGAACGCCGTTGCCTTTCCACCCAAGTGGTACCTATTTATCTACTCGCATTTTTACCTGCTTTCGAACGGCTAGGTTGGCAGGAGCTGGGACAAGCGAGGGGAGCTCACTCCGTCGCCTGGATTCAATCTTACGACGGCTGGTCTTCTGACCTAGCCGTTCAAAAGCATGTAAAAAGGTGAGTAAATAAATAGGTACCACCGCCTCAGTGGGAAGGTAACGGCGTTCCATGTTTAGTTGCGCTGGCCACATGACCACGGAAATGGTCTATGGACAAAACGCTGGCTCTATGGCTTGGAGACAGGGATGAACACTGCGCCAGTGAGGGCACAAGGTCAGGCTTGTTGGAGGTTGTGGTGGAAAACACAACTCTGGAAAGGCCGTCAGGTTGGGAAAATTAGCAGCCCGATGGGTCACTGGTGGTCCAATTTGGAGCCATGTTTGTTCCCTACATTCTCCTCTTTTATAAAAAAAAATTAAAAGTTAATTGGGCGTGTAAAGACATTACAAAAAAGGAAGGAAAGAAGTAGTATCTCTGCTTGTACTTAAAAGGCGCGATGAGTCAATCCTGTAGGATAAACAGGGCAGGGTTGCAAAGAGTGGCTGGTGCTAGAAACCCTTTCCAAGAGATGAACCAGGGAGTTGTGGAGACTGACCCGGGGAGGGGCTTGCTGTTCTCTAGTTGTCACTTTGAACCCAGGCTGTGAAAAGAGCAACGGGGGGAAGACTTTGAAGCCCCCAGGGATGAGGGAGGGCCAGGGAGCCCAAAAGCCAGCCAAGGGCACCCCTTGGGGTGGTTCGTGGATCCAGGCAGGGGAAAGCCTCATCCCAAATTTGACGTCTAAAAACGTCTAAGCCACCCTAGCTTTGAGTTACAGCTGCTCCGGATTTTTTCACATCCCTGAGTAGGGCTTCTCTTCAACTCTCCAACACCCATTGGCACCCTAAGCTTATATATCAAGAAGCGATTGTACATTGTGTTTTTCTCTTTTTAATTGTTTAACCTCTGTTACATGTAGCCAAGTAGGTTGCCAGTGTGGTGTAGTCGACAGAGGGACGGACTAGGACTCTGGAGAACAGGGTTCGAATCCCTGCCCAGCCATTTACTGGGGGAGTAGAACTGGCCAAACCTCTCCTTAAACATCTCACTTGTCTTGAAAGCTGTGTTAGGTTCGCTAGACGTTGGTTCTGACTTTATGGCACAGAACACCCATGTAGCCAAGGGGGAAAGTGAGTGTGATAGGCTGTGTTGCTTTTTTGGGCAATAACTCCTAAAAATCCCCTGCCAACAAGCCTAGTGGGAGATGGGGGGGTCCAAAAAAAAGGAGTTTCTCCAATCCCTCTTTCAGGCCCAGCCTTCCAAAATCAGAGGGAGAGGCAGGCAATTTAGGATGAACAGTGGAGTCAACATATCTGGAGGGTGCCCGGTTGGGGAGGGCTGTTCCGATCCTCAGAATGTGCCTCCCAGAAACAGTCCAAAAAGTCCCTGCCACGCACTGGGGGTTCTTCCATGGGGAAGGAGGATGGCGGGGTTTTTTCCTGCAGAGCAAACAGGCTGAGCTGGAGATTGGAACGACTTGGAAAGCAACATGGATCTGCCGTTGTGTTTTTCATCTTGATCTTACCATGTACTAACAGAGCATGTGAGATACTGTCCACTATAATGCCCCAGATCAACTGTCAGATATTAAACAATGCACTCCAGTCTCGCTGGGTGTCGGATAGCAACTAGCTGGAGGGTATTCATCAATCAGAGAGCATCCGGAGATTAAGGAACAATGCAATTCCCCCCAGGAGGAAGTTCAACTCTGACTGCACATGAAAGCCTGTGTCTTAGGGTTAAAAGTGTTGCTTCCTGCTGGGGGGGGGGACCAGTGTGGGGATCCCCCTGCCCAACCTGGGCTGGTGAGCCCTGCCACACTTTCCTGTTTGCTTTTCCCAACGGTGGGTAGCAGCATCTCCCTTGCATCCGGGAGAAGATCTTTGTGGGTTCCCAAAGAGAACACCAGGACACCAGAGGGTCAAGCAAGGGCAAAGGGCTCTGCCACTGAGTGGAGCCCATTTTTAATTGTTTCTCTGAGGAATTAAAAGGCTGGAGAATCCACAGTCCTCCGCTTGCCTGTGTTAGGTCTATGGCGAGTCGGGAAGGTGACGCTGGTCTCCCCAAAACTCAACGCTATTAAGTAACATTAAGCTTTGAGCATAGACAGAAGTAACTTGCAGCAACCTTAATGACTGTCAGGAAAGAATGAGGTGTGGTAAACGCAACTGGCTCCAGAGGGGCTAAGCATTTTTATAGCACACGTTTAAAATAAGTCTACCTCACTTTTTTGAATCTCAGCAGCCTGTATTATCTGAAACCATTAGAAAGGAAAGCCAAAAGATCTAACTTTTTTTAAAAAAATCCATCAATCACGGAGTGCTGTTTGAGAACAGCTGACATTCCTGAACAGACGAGACCCCTTAGATGGGGGAGTGGGGGGGCTGCTTGGTCTACAAATCCCCTTCAGCTCCGGCTAGCAGACCCAATGGCAAAACGTGCTGGGTGTTGTAGTCTGAACATCTCTGGGGGCCACAGGAACCCACTTCTGCTTTAGATAGACCCCCCCCACCTGCCCTTAGGGGGAAAAAAAGCACAGCCTTGTTTATCTTTCATGCTACAAGTTTGGCCAAAATCTGCACGATGAAAACTTTTCTTTCAACAACCGTACCCAACGTGCTTCTTTCTGGACACGCTATTTTAGATTTCCAAAAGCTGGAAGGAAGTGAAAAGGGAAGGGAAATGTCATCTTTGGAAGGAGAAAGGGTGGGGGCAGAAAGAGTCCTCTTTGCTAATGTCAGACGAAGGCTCAGGGAATGGTGCATGGTCTTCTGTCCCCATGAAGGCTGGCTGGATAGCTGGGTGACAATGACTCCCCACCACCTGGAACAAAAGCCAGCCTGAGGAGCCTTGGTTCATCCTCACAGTCCCATGGTAGCCCCGCCAGCAAAAGAAAGGCAAAGAACTTCCCTAGGATACCCTGATGAAAGGGATTGTCCTAAGTTGGAATTGACTTTGCAGCACAAGAATGGTATGGCTATTCTTTTCCCCAAGAACCTCTGCCTTGCTGCTCACGTCTACATCTCTGGTGGCTTCACCACCACCAGATTCTCCTCCTCCACTAGCCAGAGTGAGAGATAAGCTTCAGCAGAGACTCAACAACGTGGAGGTCTGAGGCTCGCACGCATGCTTCTCACAGGGACATCAGGTTGACCAGCCCAGAAGAGTTTTAGCAGGATGGAGTGTTTCTAGGAATGAGATGATTGTTGCTTCTGTACAACTTGTACTTAAAGATCTGGAAACTTGTGGAAGGAACAAATCAATTCCCTGGTTCGCGTCCACACTCCTGTTTATCCTGAACTACCTGAACCTTGCTCCCCTGGCTCTCGGACTCTGACTTCAGACTATGATTTGCGTTTTGATTTTGATGATTCCGCATCTGTTTTGATCTCCCGGACTTCTGACCTCAGACTGGCTTATTGGACTTTCGCCTGCTGAATCCCCTGAGCATGTGACAATGGGAGGAGAGGGGCTCCCTGAGAGGGAAGGTCATGCCAGATGTGAAACACCCCCACCCCAGCCATGGGAACAGGATTGGAGATGATTCGCAAGACACAACAGAAAAACTCCAGGCCTGCTTACAAGAAGACCAAGTTTAGTGAGTAGAGGAAGAAGTCCAAGCCCTCAGCCCATAAAGCAAACACTCTGTATATAGTTTTAGCTGCTTACACTAATAAGTCACAGCTGGATAATATGCCATTACTACGTCAATCCTTGAAGAGTGAGACTGGTGTGTGACCTGATGCTGCACCAGCATCCCACCATAAGCTCAGGTAAGTAGAGACAAGCGTGTTGGCGGCATAGGACAGGTGACACCTCCCTCCATCTCCCTCTGTGTTCCCAGAACACCCTGCAGCTTGCATGTCCTTTATTCATGCTTGACTCATGGGAACACTGGAGCAGCTTTAACTGCACAACATCAAAATGGAAGACAGACGGCTTCTCCCAACACCGGGGACACCGGTTACGGCCCTGACTTGGGGGGTCCTGACCTGAAGGCCTGGGTACAGCTACCGGGACTTATCCAGACCGGCTCACCTCTCGCAGAGGTCAGCAGAAGGCCAGTGCACAGATCAGCCAGGATTTTCTGACTCCCAGTGGTTTCATGAGAGTAGCCATAAAAAAAGATGGAATAAGGCTCCTGGAACCCAACATGAGGAGGGCAGAAGGCAACGAGGAGCGGCCGTTTTCCTGAAAGGCAGTGGGGTCAACAGCATGACCATAAGGGACGTCCTGATCAGAGGTCCCTAAATTCAAAGTGCTTCTCTCTTCCTGACCCCTTGATTTTTGCACCTGCTTTAGTACATCGGATTAAAACACACTCACATAGATATACAACCAAGGGGTGTGTCTGTTTCCCCATTCCATCTTTGAATTATTTTCACAAAGGACACTTTGGCATTTGAAGAAACTTTTATTTTACCTATCAAAGATCTGAGGATAATGACAATTCAGGGGTCTGGCTCAGCCAGCGGCCTGAGACCGGCCGATGCAGGAGGGAAAGCAAAAACTTTAGGGGCGCCTGCCGGAAGAAAGACACAGGGATGCAGGATTCCTACAGGACCCGATTGGTGGTTCGCCAGAGAGAAGAGAGGGCTTGGAGGAAGCCGGTGCTGATCTCGGGCTCCAACTCCGTAAGGGAAGCTGGACATCCACAGTCTAGGAGGGAGACCAAGAGGCTCTCTGTAAGAGATGAGAAAAAGAAAAAGGAACAGATTAGCAATGCCACTGCAGCCATTCTAATGATGGACAAGCGTTTCCTCAGATGATGTCGGGGCAGCTAAGGCCAGGTTGAAAGGAGAACCATCGTTTTATGCTGAGAAGGAGCAGGTACACCTCCTCCCCTCCCCGTGAGCAGGACAGTCCATCAGGAGCCAGTTTGGCCACCGTTCTCCTGCATCCAACCCCAAAAGGACAGCCACCTGGTGATGATGCCGCTGGTCCAGCCTCGCTTTCAGGTGCTTCACCCATCCGGCATGCGCTGGGGCACAGAGATGCCTCCCTCTCACGGTGATGAAACTGAAAGCACAGAAAGAGAACGGCTTGATGTCAGAGGGACCGGCCGGGCGTCTGCCTGAGGCAGCTGCTCCCAGTCAAAGCAGAGGGGTCGTACGTACGTATGTACGTGTGTGTTTGTGGGTAGGGGGTGAAGGCCGCCTTTGCACCCTCAGCCACCCCTCAGGGGAGGAAGGCCTTACTGCAGGCCTTGGAATGCCAGAGTGTTGCTTGCCGCACGGTCTCTGGAGACACGGTCCCCTCCAGGCCACACCGGTCAGCAATGTTCATGTTGGCCTCTCTCTTGATGTGGGTCCGGCATCGATCGGAGCCAGAGGAACCCACCGGAGTCTCCAGGGAAGGGTTGGTGTTCTCTGGCTACCGGATCAAGCTTCGGATGCCGAACCTGCCTCTCTTCAGACCTGGACACAGTGGGTTCAACAGATAGAGTTGTCCCCAAAGGAGCACCGCGGCCTTGTGGGCAGAGGTTTCTCTCTTATGCGCCAGTGCGCTTGAAAAAGGAGCATACCAGCTTTCCGGTTTCATGGAACCTTTCCCCTGCTCAAATCCCTGATGAGGTGCCAGGGGAAATGGTCCGTGAGACGCCTTGTTCTGCCTTGTTCCTTAAGCAGCCTGAATGGAGAGAAGATTATCGTTTCAACTCCCTCGCCTCCGTGTTTGGCAGGGCTTGGTAGGAGGCCAGTCCGATCCGTGGGACACAGTAGCCCAAGCCGGCACATCTGTCAACAGGTCCTGCCGGTGGAACACCGAATCCTTTCAGTTCTGGTTTGGCCGCCCGCCACAGACACAGCTGCTGTCATGGTAGCTGCTCAAAGGAGCTGAGAACCGTCGGGCGTTGGAAGCGGAGTGAGGTGGAGCGTGCTGCCTTTTAAAAAATTTGTTTTTTAATTTTTTGAGCGATTAATATTTCTCTCTCCTGGGCATCTCACAGCATGGAGTACTTAGGACAAGGGAGATCTGGCTGAGGGGCTGCAAGCAGAGGCTGCCAATGAAACGGGGTGCTCTGCTACCATCTCTGTAGAGCGTGTGGGTTTGTTTGGTGTATTTTTTTGTTCGAAACAAAAAACCTAGAAGAAAACAGACACGTGGGTCTGTATTCTGCTGAGTGTTTGCATGCATGCAATGCTCCAAATGCAGAAGCTGCAGCAACGAGAACTGTGCATGCTGAGCACCTCATCAGAGCACCACAGCACTTCGACAGAACAGGATGTGGGCCACTGTCTTCACCTGAGGCAGGCCACACCTCAAAGGCACGACACACAGTGGCATTTCATCATTCTCTTTGGAAAAAAAAAGAGCTCACTTTTTAGGAACAAGATGCATGAAGAGAAAGACGTCTCCCCACCGCGAGGCCAGTGCCTGCCTAGTTGCAAGCTGAAAGGGAGAGCTGTGACATCATCACATCCATCATCACGCTACAGGAGAAGCCCTGTGGTCCAGGCTCTTGACTCAGTGAAGCAGCCCCTGCAACCGATCGGTCAGAGAAGAACCAGCCGTGGGCTCCTTTCTCACGCCACTGCTCAGCTCTGGCGACCACAGCACTTCAGACGCCCAAGAGCAGCTGCGACTCAACACCTCCGAGAAGAGGGAGCGGAGCTCAGGGGGCGCAGCCTGGCGGGGTCCCTCGGTCGGAGCGCTCCTCTCCGGACAGGGTGGCCCAAGGGTGGATGAGGCGCGCCAGGGCAAAGAGGGAGGCGGGCGGGGGGGGGCAAAGGGTTTCAGGCTGAGAAGCCTCTGTTGCCCAGATTTGTCCCGAGCGAACAGGGCGGAAAAATCATTCAGCCTCAAAAGCACCGAAATGTCCCAGAACTTGGAGCTGTGGCCTTCGTTTGGAGCCCAGTTCCCGGCATCCCCTCAGCCCGTCGGGGCCATCATCCAGAGAGCGGGAATCCCAGAAATGAATGGCTCCATGCCCTGGACTCTCCCTGCTGACTCTGTCTTGGCTCTTTGGAATAAAAGGTTTTGGGGGGCGGCTGTGGGACATGCCCACATGATAGGCCAGACAGCCACAAACCACGGGGTGGGGGGGGCTGTCATGCAAGTCCCTCTGTGGATCCTGCCCACCCCCAGGAGACCAGGGCATTGGTGTGGCTAGCATGAAGGGCACCCCCTCCCACCCAGGACCCTCCTGTAGTGAGGTCTGCCTCCTCTTGACCCCTGAACTGTCCAGCTGGCACTACGGGGTGGTGGCCCTTCCGAGAGAGTGCCATACGGACCTAGCAACGGGCCATGGGCTTCTGCGGGGGGAGGTCCCTAGCCTGGGGCTTTCGGTTCCAGACCGGTGTGGGTTCTCCCCTGGCTCTCCGCAAGGGGGAGGCAGGGTCATTTCCCCACCACCCCCACCACAAAGTGAGAGACCTATTCACCCCCATCCATGTGGACCGTTCAGGGGTCCTGCTTTTGCTAGGTGATGCCCGTGCTGCTTTTGACCTGATGGTGGCGGCAATGATGCATAAGACACAGCGGCACCCACACCCTCCTCTTCAGTCATTCCCAGTTATCGGTTTCCATTCCTTCTCTCTTTCTCAGACAGTCCCCGTCCATGTGTGTGTGTGTGTGTCCGTGTGTGTGTCCGTCCCACAGCAAGGCTGCCCTGCTTTCCTCGCTTTCTCCTTTTGGGTCCCCAAAACTCTCCCCTCCCACCCTGCAAAGTCCTACCCACCACCTACATGGTGGCCTGGACGGGGCAGCCTTCCTGGATGTGCTGCTCTTGGTAATCTCGGACATAGTGGGCAGGGATGGGAACCGGGCTGGTCCTCACGCAGCAGTCCATCACCTGGTAATAGCCAGACCCTGAGGAGGAAAAAAGGAGACAAGTTACACAAAGGAAAGGAAGAGGAGGCCAAGTGGGGGGATGTAACTCTCCCTCTTTCAGCCTGCCTCCCCTCCGGAGGCCCAGCAGTTTCTTGGCAGTCTTTGGGGGTGGGGGGCAAACAGAGGAGGGATTGCAAGCCAAGGCTGCAGGAGGAGCCCGCCCAACTGCGGCACCCCCTGGCAGGTAGCCTTCCGAGTGGCAGTCCTCTCTGTCTGCTCAAGCGTTTCACGCCGAGTCAGGATTTATGACCCCTGTTTGGTGTTCAGTTCTTTTGAAGTTCCTTTCTGTAAACAGCAGCAAGGATTAAAGGGAACAGAGGAATCGCCCACAAGGTGTGGTGATGGAGCTCCCTACAACATTTGGTGCCATGCCATGTTATCGATCAGTGCCCACCCCAGCCTCACCCACCCCAAACACCCTTCTCTATCCTGGTTCTTCTCGGCGTGATTTCAGGTGGCGAAGTCCGAGACCTCTGGCTAGAGTGCGGCCAAGGAGAAATGAGAGAGATTGAGAGAGATGCTTCCATCCTTGGAGGAAACTGGTGGCCTGCAAAGTACATTCAGAAAGAAGAGGGGGAGAAAGGAAAAGGAGCCTCTGCCCCACCATCTCCAAAACAGGCACCCAGCAAGAATAACTGAGCATGTTCAGGAGGAGGCACAGATGAGAGGGGCAGAACATGGAGGAGGGAGGGACCAGCGGAGCTGCTCGATGTAGCAATCCTGCTAGAAAGGCAGACCAGGAGAAATATATTTCATCAGGCATCAGCTTTGGCAGACCGCCACCTGCATCATCAGATGCATCTGCACCAGGTGGCCGTGATTCTTGAAAGTCAAAAACTTTTTGTTGAGTTTGTTGCTGCAAACTGAAATCGCCATCGCCGCCCACGTCGGTACAATCAGTTATCCCATGGCAAGAGCCCACACGTCCCAGTCAGTTCAGTTTCCTCCAGTTAGCTTAGCCCCACCCTATTAATGCCATCCTCTTCCCCACACCTTCCCCTCCGTTCTCTTTCTCAACTAGACAAGCAGCATTTTAAAGAGAGAAAAATGGTCCTAAGGGAGGGAGGCAACAGGCTTTCAGTTCAGGGGAACTATCCGGCAGTAATTCCAGTGCCACTGAAGACACCACCATCGGCATCGCTGCAGACAGTGATCAGTGATCTCACGCACCCAAGAAAGCAGAGGAAAGCGATGGCAGCCCCAGGAGTACAAGACAAACCCCCCTCCCCGCTGCTGACAGAACAAGCAAACAAACAATGCCACAAATAACTAAGGGGGAAAAGGCCAGGCTGACCCATGCTTTGCTTTATGTCATGTACTCTAATAAGAATCATGTGCCATGAAGTCAGTTCTGACTTATAAGGGTTTTTTAGGTAGAGAATACAGAGAAGGGGTCAACCAGTTGTGGGTGACCACTTCGATTTTAACTGTGCCAACTCTGACGCCAGCTGGAGGGTCAACTGCAGCGTATTTGCCCCCCCCCCCAAAGGAGCTGCCACCTGGGGAATCTTTTCAGAGAGAAGGTCGTCCCACAGCCTCAAGGTGCAGTTTTGATCCTGAACATCACGAACAAGCTCCATTCGGCCCAGTTTCCTTGTGGGATGTTCGTGAAAAGCTTCTGGTTTCCAGATCCAACCTATCTGATCCCATCCCTGAATCGCAGGTGATGAGCTACACGGGCACCTTTCTGAGCTCTGGAACAGCAAATGCTGAGCAGACGGAGCGATGAGGGTGTGTGTGTGCCCGCTGGCTCCTACTGCCAGGTGGGGTGGAGAATCGTGTCCCTTACCTTGCAGGATGCTCCAAAGGGAGAGAGCCACCAGGCAGAGGATTCCCAGGCGAGGCCCCATGCTTGCCGGGGCTCGAGGTGGAGGCTCAGCAGCTGAGAGGTGGCCAGCCAAGCCGCCTGCCTGCCTGACCAGGGAAAGAGATGCTCGAGTGTTTGGCCGGCCCCAGCCTCTCCAATTTATCAGCCAGATTTCTGACTCTCGTTTTCAGTTTCCCTCCTTGATGAGTAAACAAGGAAAGGCCCAGAGAAGGAGCCAATCCATCTGGGGCAGAGAGCATGATCCTTCTTCCAACCCACCTGCCAATGGGCTCGGTCCCTGAGTGGCTGTAAAGCCCTGAGGCAGGAGGAGGAGGAGGAGGAGGAGCACAGCATGCTGAAGGTGCAGCCCCTGTGCTGGGTTCAAGGTGACCCGGGCTGCCCTTGCAAGCTTCCCCTCCACATTCGGGAGGGAGAGGGTGCCATGATGGAGAGGTGCCTTGAACAAGAGATGCCCGTCTCTGATGTTGGGGGCGGGGGGGGGGCAACAAAAGAAAGACAGACTGAGCATGTCATTGCATGAGGCGGCCTCCTCCTACTTTCGTTGCGGTGACCCTGTCCCTCATCTTGTACCTCCTGGAACAGGTCGTTTGGTGAGGGACTGACATTTCTGCTCCCCCCTCCCTCCGTTGTCCAGGCCAGAGCAGAGAATGCCAGGTGCCTCTCCAAATGATGAGGGCATAGGCTGGAGCTGTGGCAGCGGAAGAGGGACCCACCTGCTGTAATGTGTGGGGTGTAGACACTGACCAGGTTTCCTTCAATCTTCAGGCAGGGAGTAACGGCTGAGCGCTGTATGGACATGATCCTGTCGCTGGTGGAGAAAAGCCAGTGCTCTGAAAGAGCGGCCGGCAGCCTGGAGTCCTTCCTTTCTCCTGGTTTCCTTCTGCTCAGCTTGTAAGCCTCGCTCTGTGTATCGATGACGGGGTGGTTTGCCCATTTCATGCCTGCGTCCATAAACCCCCTTTCCTGTGTTGAATTTCAGGCAGAGCACGGGGCTCTTCTCCTCTCACATTCTCTTTGCAACATCCCTGAGAGTTGGCCGACAGGCAGGGATCGGTCAAAGGTCCTGTTCTAAATGCTGAAGGCCTTCTGCCAGAAAACGGTTTGCTGGCAGCTCTGCCAGGGTCGAGCCAGGCTGGCTTCCCTTGGGAAAGAGGTCCAGAGATCTGCACGCTACACGCCAGCGACAGCAGGACCAAAGACAGGCTCTCTGCTGAGCATCTCAAATTCGGACCCGTTCGGTGCCTAAAGAGAGGAGACGGTCCTTTGGATGTTCTGTCTCCACGTCGTCGTTAGGGCTTGTAGATCAAAGCCCTCACCTTGAATTGAGCTCAGAAGCAAATCAGAAGCAAAGGCACCAGGTCTGAAACCAATATCATCCGGTCTCTGAAGCACATACTGAACACTGACCTGTACCTCCTTTAGCAGCACCTCCCTCCCCCCCCCACTGCTAAAACTTTCGAGGACCTCTGCTGGGGACAAGAATATCCCTGGGTGGGAACCTAGTTGTTTGCAAGGAGGAGTTCCCTCCTGTCCGGAACAGGGTGGAATCCCCAGTCTGGGCTTGGCCTTTGGCTGACCGTCAGGACTTCCATCTTGTGTGAAGGGAGGCTCAGCGTTTGTCTAGCCACAACCGCACATCACATTCAGAGGGACCCAAAAATGTGTCTGGGAACACAAAGCAGCAATCCGCATGGGGATGCAAAGTTTTGGATAGCTCAGTGGTTTAGCTATCCAGCTGTGGAGCCAGAGGCTGGGAGTTCGATTCCCCCTCCCTGGGGCTCTTTGACAGGAGCGGGACTCCATGAATCACAGGGTCCCTTCCAGCTCTGCCATTCTAAGATGATGATGATGAACCTAGTTGCGAAATATGTGGCTTTCTGGACATCATTGGACTACACATCCCATCAGCCATAGCTGGCTCACAGGCAGTGGCGAGTGGCTATGGGGGCTGTGGCCCAGCAAAGCTAAAGGGCCATGTATTCCCCACCTCCGGTCCACAGTGATTATGGGGTTCAAGAGATATGGAGTAAAGGGCCATAACCAGCCTGGGCAGAACATCTGGGATTGTCACCAGGAAGGCTTTTTTGGCTCCTGTCTAGCCTCATGGGCTGTGTAGTCTTTCAAGTCCATAGAAGCATGCAAAGAGCTGCTTTAGGTAGGAAAGGAAGCCACTGGACCAGTGGACTCCGTGCTGACTCCATGGACTGCCAGGGGTTCTTTCTTGTCTCTAGGAGATGCCTTTCTTATCATTGCAACATATATACTTTTTTTAAAAAGGAGATGTCAATACTGTAATTGCCTCTGGGACTTTCCACACACTCCGCCTGCCCCCAGGCCTGGGGCCATAATGTTCTGCCTCTCCTTGGAACTCCAGATGGTTCGGATGCTGAAGCTGCGCGGGGAATTTGCCACCGACAGGCTGCAGCCTGGCTGGGCCTTGCCTCTCTGCCTCTCTGGGACCAGCGATTCCTCCTCCTGGGACTTTCTGTCTCTCTTTCATTTCTCCTCTCCTCTCCATAGCTTTGCACTCCCGGAACCATTTTCCTAGAATGAAGCTGTTCCTGGGCTTGCTGTGTTTCCTGGAAGTGGGGATTGGGGAACCCTGTCCAAAGATGGCATGAAATGGCCCGGGGTCCGGTTCCTCCCTTCCTCCACCAAGTGTCCGTTTCCTCTGTCCCACCGTGGGATGCTCAGTACAAAACAAAAAGAAAGAACCGTGCTCCCCCCCCCGGGCCTGTTGCCTCCAAGCAGTCCCATGGGAACTTTGGGAGGGTGAAGAACCCACTGGTCAAACGCCCGCTGTGCTGGGAGGTTGCGGGAAAGCGAGGAAAGGTCGCCTTCTGCACAGGCAGGTCACCGGGGGTGTCCCTTGGTAGCAGCAGCATCACCACCAGCAGCAGCAGCATGAGCATCCTGACACACACACACACAGAGGGAGGGAGGGATGCTTCCAAGAACTCAGCTGAGTCCTTGACAGGCTTCCAGGAAGTGGCAAAGTCCATGGGGAGAAAAGACATTCTCAAACCGACAAAGGAGCGTCCGAGGAGGGCCACCCCCGCCTGTAGCTGGATCAGACCCAGAGCAGCCTCTCTGGTCAGGCTCTCCTCACATGGGGGGGGGTGCCTGACCCACCAGCAGGCCGTTAGCGCACACTCTCCAGCAGGTATTTGGAGGCATCTGGTGCACACATATTGTGGCAGTCAGTTCCACAGGTGAACTGTGTGCTTCGAAAAGGTGCCCGTCCTCTTATCTGTTGCAGGTTTCTCGTTGCTGAGAGAGAGTCACTGGCCGCCCCTGGTTCTTCCTCTGCCCACCAGTCGGGTTGGCACTGCAGACACACACTCTGGAGATGCCCGAGCAACTGTGCAGCCTGCGGATCCAATGTACCTCCTGCCCCAAGGGGACCCTCGTGCCTATGTAGGTGCCCTGTGTGACCCCCGCCCCTCTCCCCTGGTCGAAATGGCTCTGCCCACTTTGCCTCCCCACCTTGCAGGTCCCAAGCTGGAGCCTCCTCGCCATGGAGAGGCCCATGCCTATGTGCTCGGAGCTGCGCTTTACTTCGGGACAGGTGCAAAGCCTGGCCCTGCGTACCTGTCAGAGACGTGTGTGTCTCACTGCTCCGGCCCCAGATTCCAGGGCCAAACGGCACAGAGCATTAGATACGCAGGTGCTGCAGACATGCTTCCTCCCTGTGAGCATGGAGCGCATGAATCCCTCCTTTTCCAAATGCCCATTCTGCAGCCAGACCGGCTGCCTTTTTAAAACGGTTGCTAGGAGTCCTGTTGATCTCTAGCTGTGTCCTTCCCTGTAGGAGCCGAAGCTCTGGGAAACCAAGACAGCTCCGGCCACCACCAGGAGACCACCCATCCGCAGTGCCTGCCTTCTTGACCTTAACATCTCCCCTGCCTGCGCATGACAACCCTGAAACACATTGGGGGGGGGAGTCAATCACAAGAGTCAACCTTGCAGCCGGGAGGAACAGCTGCTGAAGAGTTTTACAAGCACAGGTGTGGAGAGCCAGCTGCAAGGAGGGCGAACGGGCCTGGCTCAGGGAGGCCGTTCCAGTCCGAGGCTGCAAAGGGGGCCTCTGTGGGGGGAGGGAACACCCGGATGGGCTTTCCATCCTCACCTGAAGCCCCATTCCAGGGAGCCCACGTCACGTGGGATCACAAGGGGATCTCAAGGGCACCCCAGTGATGGTCGGCCAGCGCCAAAGAGGTCTCCCTGACACTCGTCCCTTATATTTCCCGCCTGCAAACACCTTTTTATGGATTCCCTTTAGGCAGTCGACTGTTTAGGTGGTTTCGTTTCTGCCGATTGTCCTCCTCTCGGCCACACCACGCCCCAGTTTCCTTTTTCCCACATTAAAAAAAACCATTGCTTTTTTCGTTTCTCTGCACTGTGGGCTTTTAAATTACATTTTTTTTTTAATCTGGGAAATCTGCTACTGGGGTTTCCCTGAGCCAAAAAAAGGTAACTTTTCAAAGAACCGTGTGTGCGAGACACAGAGACAAAGCGCGTGCACGCGTGTGTCCTTCTCGGCTCCCGACGTTCTTTCTCCGAATTCCGTCTGGGTTTCAGCACCAGCCGTGCTAAGAGAAGGGATGTGAAAGGTCGGGCGCTTCTCCTTTCTCCTTCGCTTTCAGCTTCATTTTGCTTCCTTCCTGTTCCAGTCGATTTTTCTGTTCCTTTCGAGGAGCTACTTCTATTATTGCCCTGTTACACTAGAGCAAGTTCTTCCTCGAACTCTTTTGCCTCTCCACAGTGCTACCCGTTCCTTCTTTTTTGTACAGATCCCATTTGATACAGATCGGGGGATAATTTTGTCACCATCATCATTACAGGCAAGCCTTCCCTCATTATTTATTTTATTTTATTGGATTCTACCCCGCCCATCTAGACCAAAGGTGTACTACTCTGGGCGGCAAATCAGCTACTTGCGTGTGGTTTTTAGATGGATTGCTAAGCGTTACTGCTTTGGCTGGATTTCCAGTACAGTACTAGTGGTATTTTCCATATTTTGTGTTTTCCATTTCTCAGTGACACTGATTTTTAAAAATTGTATACTTATTGCTCTTAGCTT